TATATTGGTTTTAGAACAATGTCATTGACGAGATGGCTTACATTTCACTTGAATGAGCATAGTTCAATCTCAGATCATTTAACCATTACCACGCTGGAGGCGAAAAAAGTTGCCATAGAATTCTCTCCCTTCGCTGCTCTAGGTGCATTCTGTCGCCTTGAGACGGTTGCTATAAATAAATACTTGTCAACTGTTATTTCCTGTATTTTAAACTTACTACTGCTTTGGAACAAGGGTAAACTTCCGTTTTCCAACGCCATTTTGAATACTTCTGGAACATCGATTAAACCCACATTAATTTTTTTGTGATTTTTTTGTAAACAAAAATGGCTATATCAACATCCAACAAAACCTTTATTCTGGAGTTTTTCTTTGATTAGAACTCCGATAATGATTTTGAAGGCTTTACTCAAGTGAATATTGATGGTGAAGTGGTTGAAGATGATAACCATGCCAGTGATGTGGAGGAAAGCAATGATAACCACTAGCAGCTACTATTATCCATTCCTGACTAATTTTATGGAAGCTACTGGTGACCATCGATATACCTGATGGTTTTTCTGAAGGTGAATTTTTTTGTCTATTTATAAATGATGAAATAATCACTTTATTTGTCAATGAGAACATGTCAAGACAAATAAATGATAGGTGAAAGAAAGAGCAAACAAATGCTGGTGTCTTCTCGTATGTAAACACGAGGAAACATCACTTTTTTGACAAAATGAAAGCCTTCTTAACAATTTTGCTTCTTATGTAATCCCCAGAACTTCAAAAGGAGTAATAAAACTTAAAGTACGTTGAATTTTTTAATATATTTTTTTTTTTATTTTCTATTTCATTTTTTTTGTTTTCAACGTCAAAATATGCATGCAAAATATAATGCATTGCATCAAAATATTACTCATTCTTTTATTAGTGTACAAAAAATAAAATCTATATGTACAATACAAAGAAAGTTATATCAATTTCAAAACAATAGGCACTTATGTTTTTGCATCCCCAAAAAAAAAAAAAAAAAAATTGCAGTGGCAGGGGAAACAATTTTACAAAGAAATTAGCATGGTAAAGGTTAAAGGAATTCATGTCCACATTCAGTTTAGATAGATATTAGTTGAAAATACATTAGTACTTCATCAAAATAATATGCAAAAACTTAAAATTCTGGAAGCCCTTTATATAAGAGAATTACGGACAGAAATAAAGTTAACTATGAGTATAGCAACAAAGTTCTTAAATGCTTGTAGCGGCACAATTTTATACAAAATGCTAAATTAAAATATAACTAAAAATCTTTTTCATTTTTTAAAGATTAAAATAAAAAAATACCAAGTTACCTCCCTTGCATATTCGAATTTGGAACACTGTAAATCAACACTGAAAAAAAAATATTTTTAATTTATGGAGCTACTGTATATGCATCCACAGGTATTTTAAACCCCTGAGGATGGTCCCAGATGAGACTGAAAGTACTTAGGAAAATAAAAATTATTTGGAAGAAAACTTTGTAATTTTTCTTAATTTCTACAGCCCCCAAGAAATTAATTCATGGACTTGAAAGGATTAAAACTAAAATATACAGATATAATACATCTAATTTAACCAAACATGACTGAATGAAAATATGCTATATATATATATATATATATATATATATATATATATATATATATATATATATATATATATATAAAATGTAAGGCCATTCACATGCCAGGCCATCACACACTCTGCCCTGACCTTCTGCAAGCTACTGTGTATCAACTAAAATAAGTTCTTTTGTCTTTATTCATACTGTCCTTTTACTGAAAGACTATCTGAATTTTTTTAAAGATAAAGAGAAAAGTAACATTAGATACATCACTTCTTTACTCTAAATTTGCAGTTTGGTTGCCAGAAAACTGACAGTTAAGTTGCAAATAAAAAAAATAAATAAATAAAAACTAAATGAAAGAAGACTAGTCAAATATTATGAAAAAGTTTGCAGAAAAAGTTTACTCTAAATTTGAATCATTTAATAGGTTTACTTCTCCTTTGTTAGAACACACCCAACAAAATCCTAAAGTCTGGAGAAATAAAATCTAAAAAACAGATTCTGTTTTGTGGTACTGAATTATTTAATAAATAAGCAGAAAAAAGAAAACATATAATGAAATGAAGGAAAATAGCCACAGAAAATTGATATTTTCCAGCTGGTCTTTATTTCAAGACATATATCCAGATGTAACTATTGATTTTTTTTTAATGACATAAGCTGTGAAAGCAAGTCCAACAAAACAATTTTCTTCCATCTGTTGTATTTATGACCCCAATTAATGTCTGGCATTTAGCACTGATCACATAGACAATTCTGTGTTTTTCTTTGTTTCTTATTGTAAAACAAGTTACTGTACTTGGGCTATTTTGAAAACAATTTGTACATTTCGTATCAAAAAGAACTGTTCAGGAATTATACTAATATAACAGAATAACTTTAAAAAAATATATATAAATAAAAAAAAAAATCTTAAAAATCTATATAAATCTCAGAGAATCTTTTTTCTTTTTTAATGCATGATTTCTGTTTTGTTTTTTAGCTTTTATGTAGTTCTGAAATGAACCAACAAGATTCAATACTTTTGTTTGTTGATTAAAGGAAAAACAGTTAATATTCCATCACAAATAAAAAAAACAATTAAAATTCCATCACAAATAAAAAAAAAACAAAAAAAACCTAAAGCCAAACTATTAAAAACAAATGCAAATGAAATGATTGTTAATTAAAAAAAAAAAAAAAATTAATCCTCAACCAAAGCAATGTAAAATGTTAAAAACTCATGATCAGTCTAAAGCAGTTATCTGAAACAAGACAATGCCAGGTATCCTTGTTAGTAAAATATTTTTTAAATCATAACAAAGGCCATATATTTGACTTTGCTGACAAATCAATAAATATGTTAAGTCCATATGAATTTGGAAAGACAGAACAGGTGATTGCTCTTTTCTTTTATGGATAATAACCCAACATAGAATGCCAAAAGAGATACAAAATTCAATAAAAACACATTACCATTATATCAAAAATACAAAAGTTCAGGATACTTATTGAAAAATCAACTTGAAGTTTTATAATGTTTTGCTTGTCAGGGTTCAGACAAGGATATTGTATAATTATTTAATACAATATTAATTAATACAATGTTCTTGTCTGAACTCTGACAAGGGAAAAAACAAAACAAAAAAAAACGAGAAACTAAGTTGGTCTTCAATAAGTCTCATGAATATTTGATTTTTTATACAATAATTATTTCTTCAGATATCTATTGAACACATTACTGCCAAAAATTTTATTCACAACATATGTTATATAATGTTACATTAAATTTAAATATTATTTTCAGTGGATACCTATATATGACTAAATGCTCTCTCTCTCTCATATATATATATATATATATATATATATATATATATATATATATATATATATATATAATGAATCATTCATACAAAAAGTAGATTAGTAAAGTTAATGATAAAATTTTATATCATTAACTTTACTAATCTACTTTTTGTATGAATGATTCATCGTAATATAAATTGAACTGCACCATATATATATATATATATATATATATACACACACACATTTCCGTCTACCTGCCTGAATATTCAAGAAATCTTATTAAAGAAAAAGATGTGCCCTCTGTCATGATTCAGTAGATAAAAATAGATAAATATACTCTTTAATAAATAAACAAGTCATCTACTCAAATATGTGTGTCCACTAAAAATAATGTTTGAAGTGATAAAATCTGGCAGATTAATAAATAAAAAATTTGTTACTTCTTTAATAATTATACATATATATCAAAAGGTGTTATTATTATTATTATTTCCTTTGATTTCTGTTGTATACACATTTCCTTTCCAGAAACTTAAGGTTGGAAATGGCTTCATATTTTCCACTGATTATTAAAAAAAAACAACAAAAAAAAAAAAACAAAACATTTTACATAGATAAAGCTCTTTGTAATGTGTGAGATTTACTTGTGAGTAGAATTTTTTGTATTTAAGGTATGGGCTACCAAGAATCTCTTCAATGAGTCAATCAGAACCTTTTCCAATCAATCCAAGGGCTCCAACAACTGAATTATTGATGTTTTCATCTACATTTTCGAAGTTTCCACTAAGATCCTTGTATTTTGAAGATCTTCACAGATACATTACAATCTGCCGAGTCTGCCATGTCAATGAGAAAGCACATTCTGTTCTTGTGGTCTTTGATTACAATGCCTATGCTTTTGATTATTATTATGCTGGTGTCGCACATTAATGTAGTCAGTGAAAATTCTGTTCTTGAAGCAATGTGTCAACAACAGTCCTCACAACTCAAGAACAATTGGAGAATGCTGACAAAGTAAATGATAGCAGTTTTCCTACAATCTTGGTCTCAGCATCAATTTTCTCTAAGCACTCTTTCATGTTTTTAGGTAGCATTGTAAGCACACCTGCTACTACAGGAATTAATATTTTATTTAAAAACACACAAATATATATGTTAGGGGAGACAACTCTCCCCTAACGAATCATTGACTCTTCATGGAAAAAGGGTAGTATCGGTCAACAACATGGCTGCTGGAGAATACACCAGCTGTAGACAGTGAATTGTTTAGCCAACCCAATCCTACTGTATCCTGGTCAGTGAGAATGAAAATGAATATTGTTGTATTTTAATAATATATATATATATATATATATGAAATAGAATATTTTAACATCTGGTATTTAAAATATCAGCAAAGTTAAATTGGTTACTCAATTAAGAAAGGAAAGAGGTGTGCAGATGCTGTGTTAAAAAAAAGAACAGTTTCACAGATGCCAAACTAAAAATTGACAGTGCAAATTATTAGGCACAAGGGTTTAGCCATTCAGAAGAGTGAAAAACCTAAATGGAGTTAGCAATTAGTCATATGTTAGTTGGGAATGTATGACAAAAAAAAACATAAAATGAGAAAACTCAC